GAAAAATAGGCGTCTTTAATCGTGCATAAGAAATTGGAATACATTCCAGCCACACATTACCTTCCCCTGTCTCTCTTCCAAACAGATACATCCTATCTAGATCATCACCCAAATTAAATGAAAGAGAACAATGGCTAACAAATGATTCCGTAATTTCCCAAACAGCAAACAAAACCAATTTTGTTTTCTCCAATACGGAAGTCCAAGGAATTTCAATAGGAAGTTCGTAATTAAATTTACTTTCATCATAGTCATCAAAGTCATGGCCAAAAGTGAACCACTCTGGAACTTCACTGCCACTGTCAGGTAGTTTAACCATAATACTCCCACTCATCTTCATCTGTAACACAACATAACACAGGCATATATATTATTATTAATTAGTCCAGCTTGCAGCGTACATAGTATAGTATTAACAATATATGTAATGTATGCATATTAATTATATAGATAAAAGATACATACGTCACCTGATTCAGTAAAATTTTTGCCATCTTTGAAAGATCCAACCCTAGGTTATCGCATAGCCTATGGCAATTAGACAAGTCCATGCTACTAATGCCTTGCATGTCTTCATCTTCCAATATCTTTGACAATGTTGAAAATCTTTCCAGTGATACGCAATCAATCATACAGATCCTTGCTATAGACGCTGGAAGTTGTATTAGAATTTCTACAAGCCTCTTGCAACCACACAAATCAAGCTCCAGCAAGTTGACACATTTGCTAATGCACGCAGGAAGACTGACAAAATTGCTTTTGGATAGATTAATTTTCACTAAGTTGGACCAGTAACAGAAATTCTCCAAGGCATCCATATTTGATACATTGCACTCTGCAAAATACATCTCCCAAAGCCTCATGAAGTTGCCATTGCGTGGACTGTTTGCGTTGGTTCGAACCTCCAAAGGAAGTGATTCTGCACTCGATAAACCTTCAGAGATCAAGTTATTTGGAAGTGTGACAAGTTTTGGGCATTGACTGAGATTAATAAAATCCAGATTTTGCAACCCATAAATACTTTGTGGCAGATTTGCAAGGTTTTCACATCTTTGTAAATATAATTGTTTAAGCACAGTGAGATTTCCAATTGATAAAGGCAACTCTTCTATAGCAGCTCCATCTAACCGTAAAAATTCCAAGGCAGTGAGATTTCCAACGAATGAAGGCAATTCTTTTACAGCAGTTCCATACAACCACAATGTTTGCAGCCCAATGAGATGTCCAATTGATGCAGGCAACTCTTTTATAGCAGTTCTCCCAATGTCCAATTTAATTAAGGATTCCATTTTGTCCACAATTTCTGGGAAACTCTCCAACTTTATGCAACCGCAAAGAAGAAATAATTTCAGAGATTTCAACCCAACTTTATTTGGAAACTTCGTGAGTTTACAGCAGTGACAAAATTCCAATTCTTCAAGTTTATCAAGATATCCAACAGATGGATGAACCTCGACTAAACTTCTACAACCACTCGCATTCAAGTACCTTAAGTTTGGGCTGTTGGATAGGTCGGGGATTTCAGTTAGGAATTGAGATCTGGTGAAATTCAGAGATGTCAACTTTTCCATATGCTGTGAAAAAAAAAATCAAATGGATAGCATTAAAGAAATTTACAACATAAATCAATTAATAAACGAGACCTCTTAAAGTACCTTCAATCCCTCCCCTAGTTGTTTGATGCGGCTGTAAGGTAGACTGAGCACAACTAGTCCATTTGGACGAAAATTGGGTGGAAAAAATTGGAACGGACATCCATGCCAATCAAGAACTCTCAAATTGTTTGGGATAGAACTAGCGTCTCCAGAAAGGCATACATTGTGGTTTATGAGAATTTTAAGATTTTTCATCTTCGAGAAGCTTCTGCCAACATCCAAGAATATCTCATCATCTTGTTTGGGGAAATTTAACATGATGCCTGTGATTTTATTTGTTCCCTAATAGAAAAAAGAAAAATGTACCAAGTGTTACAAAGTATTTATAATTAAAAAAAATTATACTTAACACACAACATGTGTTACTTATTGAATTAAATAAAACTCTACACTCACATATATAATTTAATTTACTTACTGTATTATTCATCAGAACAGACTTGACATCTTCATGAAACCACAATCTGCTACGTCCTCCGATTTCATTGGGCGACTCCTGCTCAATTATGTCCTTACCCATCTTTTCTAGTAAGTCATGCATGTGAATATGACTTCCTTCAACACTTATGAGGGCCTTTTCTATGAGTGCATCAATGCCATATCTAGCGTTTAGCTCACAAGCGTCTTTCACATACTTTCTATTTTTACCCTTAAAGAAACATGCAATGTCAAGGAAAACCTTCTTTACTCTATCATCCAAGGCATTGTAACTTATTTTGAGAACTTCTTGAATTTTCGTGCCTTGGAAACCATCCAATGCAGCTTGCCACTTATCTATACTTCCACCACATAGACAAGAACCGAGAACTTGCAAGGCCAAAGGAAGGCCTTGAGCATAGCGTATTGCACGTTCTGCAAGTTTCACATAATCACCCAAAGGAGGCCCACTTCTTTTGAAGGCATGCCAACAGAAGAGCTCAAGAGCTTCAGGATCATCTAAAATCTCGACCTCATGTATTAAATTAACATGATGAGCAGTTAACAGTTGCTTATCCCTTGTTGTTATGATAATTCTACTGCCTACACCAAACCAATCACATGCCCCAACTAACTTGTGTAACTGTTCCATGTCATCCACGTCATCAAGAACCAAGAGAATCTTTCTACCACTCAACCTTTCCTGTATCATAGTGGCTCCTATATGAACGTTGGGCACCTCAACAAATTTTCCCCTTAAAATGTCAGAAAGAAGATTCCTCTGTAGTTCGGCTAAACCTCCTCTCTGCCACATTGAACATTCTCTAACGTTTGCCAGAAAACAACTACCTTCAAATTCATGGACAATTGAATTATAAACAGCTTTAGCAATTGTGGTCTTACCAATTCCACCAGTTCCCCATACCCCCACCATACGAACATCTTTTTCCCCCAAATCTAAAAGCTTAGTTATATCTTCTACAGGACGGTGCATTCTAACTGGATACTCTGTCACATATAAATGTGTACGGTCTATTACTTCCCGTGAAATGTGTTGAACGATTTTATGAATCAGTTCAGCTTCATATCTATATCTGCCAATTTAAAAGCATATGAAACATTTAGTCACATGGCATTTTTGTATAAAAAGTAAATTAAAAAGGGCAATTAAGGAACATAATACACACAAAAAAGAAGAGAATTTAGAGCAACAATGAATAAATTAACTCTTATATAAGGGGGTTAGAAATTTACTCGTCCAAAGGGAACCCTGACAAAGCTGCTGCTTGTGAAAGTGCCGCCCTCCATTTCTTGACCTTGTCCATCTCATCTTTGTATTTGCGCTCCATGTTAGCCAGTGCATCCCCGAAGCTTCCTCTATGATTCCGTACATCTGATGGATTCACCTTGTAAAAAACTGGGATGACCAATGTGATTTGCAATCAAGAATCTTAACAAGCTCATCCAAGCACCACTTTGAGGAGGCATAGTTTTCGGAGAACACCACCACATAAATCTTTGAGTCTTCAATTGCTGTGAGAAGCGCGTTTGATATTTCTTCTCCTCTTCTGAGCTCATCATCATCCATGAAGGTGTTAATTCCTTGTAGACGCAAATTGCTATACAAATGGCTTGTGAAATTTGAGCGAGTGTCTAAACCTCTGAAGCTCAGAAAGACATGGTATTTCCATGACTTGGTGAAAGGAGCAGAAGAATAAGAGGCTCCTCGGTTGGTCATGGAAGCCAAAGATAATTGTTTCAGTGTTTGCTTGAAGAGCTTTAGATGTGAGCAAATGTAAAAGGCAATGTGAATTCATGAAATGGTGAGCAAGTGTCGGAGAAACTTCCTGTCTTCAACTGAGACGACCTGTCAGTGTCAATGCTTGTTGAAAATTAAACCCACCGGATATATTTTGTTTATTGCCACCTCACCTGTACCTAATTTTGTTTATTGCCACTTCTTCTGAGGGTGTATGGAACTTGGTAGAGGAGTACTTCAAGTTGTCTAGTCCATTACTGATGTTCGGTCTATAGAGAAATGTGCAATAGTCTCGTATTTTGTATTTTTTTTTCACTTTAAAATATATAATTTTCCCAATTCAATACCGACTCTCAAATTTCAGGTACGAAAATAATAATAAAAAATACATACAATAGCTTAGAACAAAAATCATAATTTGACTAAGTGGTGAAATTAAATATATATGAAAAATTATATTTATTATTACTAGAATAAGTGAACTTGTAGGTAAATATAGCAAATCTCCCTCCCCTTGTAGGTAAATATAGCAAATCTCCTAAAAAAGATATATATATATATATATATATAATCTCCTCCCTACCGTCAAACTCAAATTCACTCACATTCTATTAAGAAGGGTCACACACTCTGCATTTCTAAAATAAAAAAGAGAATCTTAGAAACATATTGGGGGTGAAGGATAGAAATTGGATATGGGCAACAGATATCCAAACAGAGATGCCTTCTCCTTTCTCAACATGGCTGCCCCAATTTTTGCATTATTCATGTTCACCACCCATAACATGGGTACATGGTAGTTTTGTGTTCAATAATTCACGCTTAGTTAATCAGAACGATGTCTTGATTACTTACGTGTGGCATCCAACTACTAGCTGCCATCAATATAGATTTATGATTTTTACATTCTTTAGCACATACCGACGTTGTTAATAAGAAGATAGCAAAGCAATAAATATAAAGACATCACAGGGTTCATATTAGGACTAATAATACAACACAAGGTCATTATTATGGCATCAAAATAATCAAGAGGAAGTCGTCTTGAGGTGTCTCGCCAAGAGGCATTCAAAAATAGAAATATCTGAAAATAAGGAGATGCTAAAGATACAAAAACGAACACTTGGGGCATCCAGCTTATAATCTCTTCCCAGAGGAAGATAACTCACTTAATAACCTGCAAGATAAAAACAAATGAGGCGTGAGCAAATAGCCTACTTATATACTTACTCAGTTATATCTGTCATGTAAGATCACATGCCAGCCTATTCAAAGTCAGTTTTCAACATTGTAGTAAAGCCACTCACCTTTTGGTCCAAACTCGAAGTAAGTTTTCAACATCAACACCTAAGAGAGTACACAAAACGTAATTACCTTAGAATTCTTCTACGATTGAAACACACTAAATGGTAAACAACAATACAACACGTAAAAATATTAAAAATAAAAACTCATTACCAATTTTGTGCTGAAAGGGAGGCTAATTATAAAAATAAAATAAAATAAATAAAGTGATGCGAACTCACATTGAAATGCAGACAGGTCATATCTTTGTTCTCTTTCTGGGTCTAACTTCATCACCTACATCATCATCATCATCTAATTCATTTTCATCAATATGTTTGCCATCATCATCACCATCCTTCGACATACTGATAGGAGCCAGGTGGGCCCCAATGCTTTTGATGTGCACCCCTTTGCCGATAACAGTAATTCGAAAAATAGGCGTCTTTAATTGTACATGAAAAATTGGAATACATTCCAGCCACACATTACCTTCCCCTGTCTCTCCTCCATACAGTTGTATCTCATCTTCACGACTATCAACATAAAATTCAACATAACAAGGGCTAACAAATGATTCCGTAATTTCCCAAACAGCAAACAAAACCAATTTTGTGTTCTCCAATACGGAAGTCCAAGGAATTTCAAAAGGAAGTTCGTAATTACGAATACTCCTGCCATTAACATCAACGTAGTCAAATTTACTCTCATCATAGTCATCAAAGTCATCACCAAAAGTGAACCACTCTGGAACTTCACTGCCACTGTCAGGTAGTGTAACGATAATCCTCCTCCTCTTCATCTGTAACACAAGACAACACAGGCATATATATTATTATTAATTAGTCCAGCTTGCAGCGTACATAGTATAGTATTAACAATATATGTAATGTATGCATATTAATTATATAGATAAAAGATACATACGTCACCTGATTCAGGAAAATTTTTGCCATCTTTGAAAGATCCAACCCTAGGTTATCGCATAGCCTATGACAATTAGACAAGTCCATGCTACTAATGCCTTGCATGTCTTCATCTTCCAATATCTTTGACAATGTTGAAAATCTTTCCAGTGATATGCAATCATTCATATAGATCCTTGTTACAGACGCTGGAAGTTGTATTAGAATTTCTACAAGCCTCTTGCAAACACTCAAATCAAGCTCCTGCAAGTTGACACATTTGCTAATGCACATAGGAAGACTGACAAAATTGCTTTTGGATAGATTAATTTTCACTAATTTGGACCAGTAACAGAAATTCTCCAAGGAATCCATATTTGATAAATTGCACTCTGCAAAATACATCTCCCAATGCCTCTTGAAGTTGCCATTGCGTGGACTATTTGCGTTGGTTCGAACCTCCAAAGGAAGTGATTCTGCACTCGATAAACCTTCAGAGAGCAAGTTATTTGGAAGTGTGACAAGTTTTGGGCATTGACTGAGATTAATAAAATCCAGATTTTGCAACCCATAAATACTTTGTGGCAGATTTGCAAGGTTTTCACATCTTTGTAAATATAATTGTTTAAGCACAGTGAGATTTCCAATTGATAAAGGCAACTCTTCTATAGCAGCTCCATCTAACCGTAAAAATTCCAAGGCAGTGAGATTTCCAACGAATGAAGGCAATTCTTTTATAGCAGTTCCATACAACCACAATGTTTGCAACCCAATGAGATGTCCAATTGATGCAGGCAACTCTTTTATAGCAGTTCTCCCAAGGTCCAATTTAATTAAGGATTCCATTTTGTCCACAATTTCTGGGAAACTCTCCAACTTTATGCAACCGCAAAGAAGAAATAATTTCAGAGATTTCAACCCAACTTTATTTGGAAACTTCGTGAGTTTATAGCAGTGACAAAATTCCAATTCTTCAAGTTTATCAAGATATCCAACAGATGGATGAACCTCGACTAAACTTCTACAACCACTCGCATTCAAGTACCTTAAGTTTGGGCTGTTGGATAGGTCGGGGATTTCAGTTAGGAATTGAGATCCGGTGAAATTCAGAGATGTCAACTTTTCCATATGCTGTGAAAAAAAAAAAAATCAAATGGATAGCATTAAAGAAATTTACAACATAAATCAATTAATAAACGAGACCTCTTAAAGTACCTTCAATCCCTCCCCTAGTTGTTTGATGCGGCTGTAAGGCAGACTGAGCACAACTAGTCCATTTGGACGAAAATTGGGTGGAAAAAATTGGAACGGACATCCATGCCAATCAAGAACTCTCAAATTATTTGGGATAGAACTAGCATCTCCAAAAAGGCATACATTGTGGTTTATGAGAATTTTAAGATTTTTCATCTTCGAGAAGCTTCTGCCAACATCCAAGAATATCTCATCATCTTGTTTGGGGAAATTTAACATGATGCCTGTGATTTTATTTGTTCCCTAATAGAAAAAAGAAAAATGTACCAAGTGTTACAAAGTATTTATAATTAAAAACAAATTATACTTAACACACAACATGTGTTACTTATTGAATTAAATAAAACTCTACACTCACATATATAATTTAATTTACTTACTGTATTATTCATCAGAACAGACTTGACATCTTCATGAAACCACAATCTGCTACGTCCTCCGATTTCATTGGGCGACTCCTGCTCAATTATGTCCTTACCCATCTTTTCTAGTAAGTCATGCATCTGAATATGACTTCCTTCAACACTTATGAGGGCCTTTTCTATGAGTACATCAATGCCATATCTAGCATTTAGCTCACAAGCGTCTTTCACATACTTTCTATTTTTACCCTTAAAGAAACATGCAATGTCAAGGAAAACCTTCTTTACTCTATCATCCAAGGCATTGTAACTTATTTTGAGAACTTCTTGAATTTTTGTGCCTTGGAAACCATCCAATGCAGCTTGCCATTTATCTATACTTCCACCACATAGACAAGAACCGAGAACTTGCAAGGCCAAAGGAAGGCCCTGAGCGTAGCGTATTGCACGTTCTGCAAGTTTCACATAATCACCCAAAGGAGGCCCACTTCTTTTGAAGGCATGCCAACAGAAGAGCTCAAGAGCTTCAGGATCATCTAAAATCTCGACCTCATGTATTAAATTAACATGATGAGCAGTTAACAGTTGCTTATCCCTTGTTGTTATGATAATTCTACTGCCTACACCAAACCAATCACATGCCCCAACTAACTTGTGTAACTGTTCCATGTCATCCACGTCATCAAGAACCAAGAGAATCTTTCTACCACTCAACCTTTCCTGTATCATAGTGGCTCCTATATGAACGTTGGGCACCTCAACAAATTTTCCCCTTAAAATGTCAGAAAGAAGATTCCTCTGCAGTTCGGCTAAACCTCCTCTCTGCCAAATTGAACATTCTCTAACGTTTGCCAGAAAACAACTACCTTCAAATTCATGGACAATTGAATTATAAACAGCTTTAGCAATTGTGGTCTTACCAATTCCACCAGTTCCCCATACCCCCACCATACGAACATCTTTTTCCCCCAAATCTAAAAGCTTAGTTATATCTTCTACAGGACGGTGCATTCTAACTGGATACTCTGTCACATATAAATGTGTACGGTCTATTACTTCCCGTGAAATGTGTTGAACGATTTTATGAATCAGTTCAGCTTCAGATCTATGTCTGCCAATTTAAAAGCATATGAAACATTTAGTCACATGACATTTTTGTATAAAAAGTCATTTAAAAAGGGCAATTAAGGAACATAATACACACAAAAAAGAAGAGAATTTAGAGCAACAATGAATAAATTAACTCTTATAATTTATTTTCTTTTTGTTGTCACATCTTATAATTTATTTTCTCAAAAGATGATCCATTAACGCATACATCAAACCTAATGAATTAGATATAGGAAAAATAAAATAAAAATAAAAGAAAAGAGAAAGCATTAATTATGTAAGGATAAGGGGGTTGGAAATTTACTCGGAGGACAGAAAGAACCCCGCTAATTTTCCTGCTTGTGAAAGTGCTTCCTTCCATCTGTTGACCTTCTCTACATTATTGCAGTCCATTTTAGCCAGTGCATCCCCGAAGCTTCCTCTATGATTCCGTACATCTGATGGAGTCACCTTGTAAAAAACTGGGATGACCAACTGTTTGCAATCAAGAATCTTAACAAGCTCATCCAAGCACCACTTTGAGGAGGCATAGTTTTCGGAGAACACAACCACAGAAATCTTTGAGTCTTCAATTGCTGTGAGAAACGCGTTTGATATTTCTTCTCCTCTTCTGAGCTCATCATCATCCATGAAGGTGTTAATTCCTTGTAGACGCAAATTGCTATACAAATGGCTTGTGAAATTTGAGCGAGTGTCTAAACCTCTGAAGCTCAGAAAGACATGGTATTTCCATGACTTGGTGAAAGGAGCAGAAGAAGAAGAGGCTCCTCGGTTGGTCATGGAGGCCAAAGATAATTGTTTCAGTGTTTGCTTCTCTCTTTGGATTCGCTAAACAAAATATGAGTCTTTTTTACTCGAAGAGCTTGGATGTGAGCAAATGTAAAAGGCAATGTGAATTCATGAAATGGTGGGCAAGTGCCCGTGAAACTTCCTGTCTTCAACTGAGACGACCCACCGGATTGTTTTGTTTATTGCCACCTCACCTGTAGCTAATTATGTATTACTCTAGGGGCCTTGCTTTCGGTGAAGTGCTCTCTAGTCTCTAGGCATGAAACAAAAGGAAATGAATCATAGTTCATAGTTGATCGCTAGCAAACCCATGACACAGCTTAAAATACTAGGTTAACATAAAAAAATTTTCACTTTTGGAAAAAGCCAAAGCTTTTTTCAAAAAGACAAAAAAACCGCTCAACTTTCAAATCAAAGACATGCAAATGTATTGGATTCCTTAGGAAATCTAAAAATAAATAAGGGCATTTTTGTCCATTTTTGCTTCTTTTAAAAATTTTCTCTCTCCCTTTGCTTTTTCCAAAATGTCCCTAAATAAAATAAGTTAAGATGGTTTTCAGAAGTCATATTTGATTTGATTTGATTAAATCAAATAAGTTTAATCACATTCGCATGAAACAAAAGGAAATGACGAATGAGCCACAGATTCCTCCTAGAAAACGACGAACGAGCTACAGATTCCTCAATTTGGATCGATCAGGTTTGTACTTATGCTTGCCTGATTTTTTTTTAAATTTTGGGTATGTTTTTAAGCAACAAATTGTGACAATGGTGCCCCTCTGCCTTGTTGGGATAAGAATTCTATAAAAACTGCTCTTTGAAGTCATTGCCTGTTTATGATTTGTTTCATTTTGTTTTGTTTTGTGATGCATTCCTTACTAATTTTATATTCTTCACATCCAATTCATATTTTGATTTCTATCCACAATACTTCCCATGTTCATTCTAGCAATCAAACACTGATGTGATGTGTATGTAGCAAGTCTTTTATTTATTTATTTAATTTTTCTTCCTGTTTGGTAGTAATATATTTGTATATCCAAGGTTTGCAAATATGAACAATTGGATGTGGAAATGCACCATTCATTTGGTCGTTGCTAATTTAGAATATTCACTTTTTGACAGTAATTCATTCCTTGCACATACGTTTAAGCATTCGAGAGATGTGATGATATTTTATATATAGATAATAAAAATTCCGCCAATTTTCTGTTGGGACCCTATGCATGAATATGTAGTTTGACCTAATATTCAGTTCTAGATTTTGTAACTTCACCATTCCAACCGAAAGTAAATAGTAAATATCAGGCATGGGCGTTAGGGACCAGGTAGCATCTCTTTTCTACCAAATAGAGAAGTCTTAGTTTCGAACTTATGAAAGAAAAAGGAAAGAAAAGGGAGAAAGTCCAGGTCCAACCCTTTTCTAATTGCTAGTTTTAGTGCTTTCTGTTTTCTGAGGGTGTGTATGGAACTTGGTAGAGGAGTACTTCAAGTTGTCTAGTCCATTACTGATGTTTGGTCTAGAAAACTCTATTTATACTCTTTCTTTTTTTTTGAAATTCTATATTGACATTTCCTTCTGTTTGCATGGAGAAAAAACCTCACTGATGATGTGATAATTGAGTTGTAATAGCTCATATGATACAAACACACTGTAAATTTTCTCCGTTTATATTTTTCAGACAACTCTATAATCTTCTTTCACATTTTTAATAGTGATCCGGAGTGAAATGTTAGATTCAAAATGCATATTCCCATACGATATTAGTTTTTTTTGCAAGAAGAGGTCTAATAAGAAGTTCATTACTGCAAAATTTACTATGGTTATTTTGGCATGCAGAAGGAAGAGATTTGCCAAAAGGTTGGTTACTGAAAGTTTGATCTCTAAAATGGCTGATTATGAAGGAAAGGCAGTTGCTACTGATGTCACCTCAGGATCTATGATTTTTGAGCCTGTCATTGAGGATGGAGTATTCCGATTTGATTGTTCTGCAAATGATAGAAATGCAGCATATCCTAGTATCTCTTTTATTAATAGCAAGATACCTTCATAAACTCGAGGTCAGCGATTGATTTTCAAATTGAATTTGGTGCTCCCTGTATTATCTATTTCTTTTGTCTATTTCTTAACAACTATGTTGTCTTTTCATCGTGATAGTTTCTATGCCTTAAATTAACGTGGTAGAATTGCTTTTGGTGTAGCTTCCTGTCGGGACCTCTCTCTATGGAACTGGGGAAGTTAGTGGGCAACTTGAGCGGACGGGGAAAAGAGTAAGTCATCTTTTGATGATCTATCCATGAAAGATTTCCCTCCTCTCTAAATGTTTAGTATTTCTGCTTGATTTAGGTTTTTACTTGGAACACGGATGCATGGGGTTATGGTTCTGGAACTACATCATTGTACCAGTCACATCCTTGTGTTCTAGCTGTTCTTCCAACTGGAGAGGCATTGGGAATTCTCGCTGATACAACACGACGCTGTGAGGTGCTGTGACATCTGGATCTCTGACCTTCTGTTGTATGTGAAAGTTAATGTTTTTATATATTTTTCTTTTAATTTATTAACCTACTTTTTGATTCACTTTTTTGCTCGTGAGCAGATTGATCTGTAAGTGCATTTTGTTCATTGCTTCAAATGTTTTATTGTGACAGCTAGATATTTTCTTTTAGTACATTTTGTTCAATTGCCCATATAATTGAACTCAATATCGGTATTTGAGTCAATATTTAATACCTTGTGTTAACATTCATAACTGAAATGTGACATCTAATATACTTGTAACATAAGATAAAAGAAAATTATTCCTAGACTGTAGCTTAGGAATAGTGAAGTGACGGTTTTGCCCCCACTTAAGGGATGGTCTGCTTCCTTGAGCTGACTTTTAAACAGTGAATTGGCCGTTTTGCCCTCTTCTCCTTCATCGCAGTCCTCTCTCTTCTCTCTTCCTTTCTCTCCTCCGCTGCGAACGATTATCTGGAGGCTTCAACTTTATAGGAGTGCCGTGTGTTGGTCTTCTTCTTCAGATCGAACTCCAGCTTTCTCTCTGTTTCAGTCTCTTTCTCTCACTGATCTGTAAGTAAATTTTGCTTCATCTTTCCATTCGATTTTTGTTGCCCTTCTTTTTCATTTTGTTGTTACTAATATCTTGGATCTTATTTGATTAAACTATGAGACCTGTTTTAATTTGCTGCCCTAAAAGTCCAAATCCCTAATTTTTCCTCATAGTGGGTCTGTGTTATTGATTTGCAAATTTTATCCAAATACTAAAATTGATTTGATTGTGTTATTATTTTCATGAAATCAGGCTAAATAATTTAGTTATTAAAATACTATATGATTGCTTTTGGTAAAGTTTCTGTTTGGTTATTAAAAATTAGTTGGTAAACCCTGAAATCGGTATTTGGATATGCTGGTTCTTTTGTTACAGGGTTTAGGATTGCTCTGTTTTGGTAAGCAGGATGTGTTGCTATTTGGGTAGCTCTGTTTAAAGATATGTTTGTTCTTTTACTACAGGGTTTTAATTCAAATTCGTTCTTATACTGGTTTATGGGACTGGGGATCTGAATTTGATAATTTTTGTTTTGGTAGGAGAGAGAAAATTTGGGAGTGTGATTCTAGGAACTGATTGCAATGGTTTAGCATAGTTGACTTGAAGAAGACTGGTTTAGGAAATATATGTGGGATTTGAAAATCTGACTTCTAAATTGGAATTCTGTTTGTGGACATTAGTGATGACGAGAAAGAATTCAGAAGAGTTAAAATTCATAATTTTTTTGTTTGTGGGTTTGATTTACCAAGCATATTTTTGCTGATTTTTGCATTGAATGGAGACTTATTGAAAACTAAAAAAGTTTGTATATCCTAATTTCAGAATGCAGAGTTTGGTTCTATTGTTTTTTTCCTTTTCATAGGCTAATAATTTGGCCATGCTTCTACTCTTTGCAGCTGCTAGGGACTGGAATGGATACGCAGGATACATCTCCTTCAGTGTTGCTATTCTTTGACAAGCAAAGATTTATATTTAATGTTGAAGAGGTAATGAACTCAATTACATACATTTTCCCTGTGGTTTCTTTCCGTACAGATTTTGCTCAAGCAAATTTTTTGGTTTAATCAAAAAATTGTGCATGCATAAAATACTCAAGCTAATTTCTTCTCCGATTTTTCTGTTTTTTCTTCCTTTTTCTTCTTCTTTTTTTTTAAAACCATGTTTTCTTTCGTTATTTTGCAGGTAGTCTTTCGTTGCTTTGGATAGAGCGGTTTGGTTTGTGTTTTCAGTTCTATTAAGCAAAGGGTGAGTTTCTAGGCTGAAATTTTAATTAATTGTTTTATGTTTTGTGAATAGAGCATAGGAATTAGCTAATGGCATCAATTGACAATTCGTTGGTGTTAATTTGTTGTTGTAATGATAGGTTTAGATGATTACAATATTTGAACATGTTGGTAAATCCTTTTGAGTGTTTTGGCAATTGGGTTGTTGAGATGTTCTCTGCCTATTTTCATCGCTTTAGACACATTTCATGCAATTTTAAACCCGCAGCATCGCGCGGGCACCTTTTGCTAGTAAATACTAAATTTGATTATAATTGATGAATCCGATTTAAGGATTTCGACGAGAAGACAGGTATGCAGTATGAAAGAAGTTATGTGTTATGTGATTTCTTATGAATTAGAATAACTACAGACTTTTGAATTCAAAAAAGTAGATATTACACATGTTATATGTTTCTTTGCATATAGTGGCACTTGCAGATGTATGTTGCTTACTAGTCAGCGCAGTTCATAGCATATAATGCGGTTCCTTCTCCATCATTCTTAATTTATTGTTTTAGTATCTGTTTTTATTGTTTATGATTTCCTCACCAGGGACTGTATTTATGCCCCCAAAGTGGTCGTTAGACTATCATCAATGCCGTTGGAGCTATGACTCTGATAAGAAAGTTCAAGAGGTAAGTATTTGATAATTATCTCAAGTTAAAGCTTCTCTCCTCTGTCTCTGTCTCTGCCTCTGTCTCTGTCTCTATCTCTCTGTCTCTCTCTCTCTCTCTCATGCATGCTTGTTTTCTCACTTTCTCTTGTTCACTTATATGTTAGTTCTTAATGGATGAGAATACATTGGTTCTGGTTCCCCATCTTCAGTTCATCAATGAAACCATTTACTTCTTTCAGGGGTGAATTGAAGTTTGAGAATCTTATGTATGTCATTTTATACATGTTTAGGGTTGAAAGTTATTCTCCAAAATTTTTATAGAGATTTACTTTCAAGAGAGTAAAAGGTGTTGTGTGGCTGTTCCTTTGAGTGGTTAGGCTAAAAATATGTCTAGAGAACATAAAACAACAAAGATGTTCTAGGTTTGCTCTCTTCTTCAGGACATGGGTATTTAAGTGGTGCTATTGATGTAGATGTATTGTGAATCAGGTTTCTGTTTCCGTTTATTGTAATCCAGTCTTCCATGAGCATACCAAGCACATTGAAGTAGATTGTCATTTTATTTGTGTTTTTCTTTTTTTGCCAAAACATATTTACACTCCTCATATCAAGTCTTCTGATTGGCTTGGTGATATTTTAACTAAGCCCCACTTAGGGCGTTCATTTGTGGAATTTTACTCCATGCTGGGTATCTTTGACTTTTACATTCTAGCTTGAGGTGCGGCGTGAGCAGTCTCATTTTATTTTACTTCCAGAGCCTTAGAGAGTATTTTATTGGCTTGTGAGACCCACAGCTGGTGTAAACATAAGTGTAACCAGATGTTGTGTCGTTGTAGTAGTACAAACCACATCAGAAATGGATACCCTGCAATAAAAGAAAAAAACAGAATAGAAGCTACAAAACCACATCTTTTACCGTGTATATTGGCTGAACTTAAGTTTTTGAGTCCATCTTTAGAAATCTGTCATAATTAATCTTTTGATGTTGACTTCAATCTTTGAATGCTATGCAATGTATTACCATTGGGAGAAAGTAATAGGATCAAATTTGGAAGGTCGATAAATGAGTTCTAGGGCAAAGAGATCCAAGGGAAACGTGAATGTGATTTTTCTGGGACAGAGTAATAGGGTCAGGTACAAGCTCTATTTTGCTATTCATTATGCACTAATATACAGTGATGTAGGCATTGTTGGCTCAATCGACAAAGCACAAGATTGTGCTTTGTCCTACACCTATGCATTTCTCACACACTCATACAACTATGATGTGGTGGGGATTCAAACCGAAGACCTCTCATCTACCAGTGAAGACCCTTTTTTCGCTGGGCTAGACCCTTCTTTTCATTGGGATTCTATCTTTATTTTATAGGTTAAATTATGAATCACGAGTAGAGGTGTCAAATAGGACAGGCATAGGCCAGCTTACTCCTGGAGAAGGCAGAACTCAGAGCGCTCGTGCTCTTCAACGGTCTGTTTGTGGAGCTCATCCAACTTCTTCTACTCGGCCTCGTGCTTTTACTTTGCCATCCACACGTTCTTATGTTCCGAAGGCACCCTGTGTGCCATCCTTTCTTGTTCAGGAATTTCAACGCCATTCTTCTTTTCTGCTTCAATATTCGAATGAATGAATGAAAATGTTGAATTTAAACGATCAATTTCAATTTCAATCACGTAGTCTCTCTTCCTCTGAGTTTTATGCGTGGCAAGTGTTATATCTTGGGCAAAAATAAAAAAATAGTATAGGTGGATTAATTTTTTTCTTTCTAAAAAAATATCAAATCGGATGATATTTTATTACAATTTTTTTAATTTTTAATTTTTTTGCTGAATGAAAAGAAAAAAAAACAAACAAAACCAAAAAACCGAGAGGGGAGGATTGGTGGTTTGGGGAAGAAGGTGGGGGCGGCTAGAGATGGTTTTTTACTTTTATTTTAAGTTTATATATATTTTTATATTTTATATTTGCTTAAAAAATTATTATTTGTTTAGAAAAAGAAAAGGAAATAATATTAAAATGAAGTAAAAAGAAATTAATGTAGAGTAAGGGTAGAATAGGAAAGAGAAAGAACAAAAAAGAATAAAGTTGATTAAAAAGTATTCAACAGCAAAAGGGAGTGTAAGGGGAGAAAATGGGAGTGAGAAAATCAACTCCCTTTTTTTGTTGTTGCAAAATATGGGCATCCTTGAAAAATCAGTATATAATACATGGAAAAATGCATTCGTATGATTTGGAAGACTATTAAAATAAAAATGTATTTACTCTTACATAAAGGAATGTGCAATAGTCTCGTATTTTGTATTTTTTTTCACTTTAAAATATATAATTTTCTTTGGATTACC